ATTTAGGTGAAACTGATTCTACTGTAGACACTAATGCTGTTCCAACCATTTCTGAAATGATAAAAAAGTGCCCGAAGCTCGGAATTTTCTACAATCACGCCAAGTTCCTAATCATATCTGGGAGTCATTTTGCGATCTTGAAAACTACATAAATAACATCTATTTTTGCAGCAGAAATGTACAAACAAAAATTACAGACTTTATGAAGTAGATTTCAAATTGTGTTCTGTTTATCTTTTTGTGTTCCTTTTGGTTATACCTACTAACTTCTACTACTCTATGTAAAAATAACGAAATAAAATACATCACGTGTTTTTGTATTATTATTCGCTTATAGCGAACTCCGGATATAACGAACCAGTTTTAGTTCATTTTTCAAGTTTGTTATATCCGGACCCAACTGTATTTTACAATGATATCAAATCGAACTGCAAGTAGGCATTCCATGTCCGTTGTTAACATGTTTTTTCATTTTCTTAAAATTATTTTATAATTTAATATTTCAATGAGCAAATTGCACTTAATCAACAATGAAAGTTTTCGCCATCAACAGAACTATTATGAGTTACGAATATGTAGGCATCTGCAGTTTTCGAGATGTGCTGGTTTCGAGCCTATTACCTGTCGTCATCTGAGCTCAAGCATTAAGCTCAATTGACGAGAGTTGATCCTGCCTGAGATCTATAAATAATTTTATCGTCATCGTACCAAATAAGTATATTTGTTTGATCGTCTAGTCTATGCAATTTACAATTATACAGGGTGTCCCCAAATTGTTGGTCAACAACGATATGGCGTACTGAAGACGTGAAAACAATGCCAGTACTTTATATAAAAAAAATCCGATCAGGCTTTCTTATGGAGTTACTTATGGGCCTTCAAAGTGACAAGTCGAAAAATAAAATTTATTCTTAAATATCTATTAGATAGCCCCATTTTTTTGCTTCAATAAGGGGACACCTCGTTTTTCACAATATCTCTTACGGCATTTGAGATAAAACACTTTTTGCAATTTGTAGTGATAAAACTAATACTATTGAAACTACTACGTCTGTGAAAATAAAATCGAACCTTGTTATTATTAACTAGGGTAAATGTACAAAATGCGTCATAAAAATTGTTTAAACAATTTAGTTGCATTGTTAATAGAACATCATTAAATTAATGGTATTATTATTTCTACTCCGAATTCCAAATATATTTCATGTATAATATCATATACGTAAGTCTGACCGTTTTTGATATATTTGAAATTTTATGTAAAAAAATGACAGTTGCAGCCACTCGAATAATTATTCATTTTCCATATTATAATATATCCATATAATAATATTATTCATGTCCTAGTAGAAAGTACGTACTTTCGCCACTGTCGATGGCGGAAGGATCACTTTCGCCCATTACACATTTTCTTCATCCGTGTGGAAAGTAATAACTTTTGCCACGCACGCTGACAGCTTGCCTTTGTCATTGGCTGTCATCTGACTGTTTTTACAACATTTACAAAGTTTTGTTTCAAAACGTTATACTTTCCCGGCTAGTTTCGATGGACAAAAATAGTATACGGTACAAGAGGTGAAAGTCGAAGGCCCGCCACTGCGTGCATGACTCCCTCGGCTTCGCCTCGTGCGTCTATTTCAAGCAGTGGCGGAACTTCGACTTTCATCTCTTACCGTACTGTAATATACTATTTTCCTATAAGCGAATATGGTCTACTTAATTTGGGTCGCATTTCTTATTGAAAAGGACTTACGTTAATCGAGTTTCGACAACATTTTGATAACTATTAATACAACATGTTAAGCAAATAAATTTCAAAATAAAGTTGAGAAAACCACCCACAATCAATATTTTTCAAATGTAGACCCCCATTATTAATAATTTTATGTTATTCAATATTAAAAATAAGGGCAAGTTTGCATAAGGTTGCCTATTTTAAAAGTGTTTAGTTTTCAAAATATTGTCAATTTAATGTTTTCATATGGCTATTTTGCCGCATCTTATTTTAAATGCAGTCACTCCTAGTGACCATGATGAATGTTCCCATTTTAATATTACAAAATGCAACAAGAATGTTTGCACTTAACATTTGAAAACCATTAATTATCATGCCCGGACGCTTAAATTATAAGTAGAAACTAAGATTATTTAAACTTGTTATTATTTAAGGAGAATATGACAAACCGTTTATGTATTATTAATTATTATTATATCAAACATAATTAGAACAAAAGCAGTTTTTTTAAATCTAGGGTTCTCTAATTTTTCTGGTTGCCTTTATAAATTTGCTTTTCTTTTGTTGTGCTCCCAAATTATTGAAATTTTCTAAAATTAGTTTGACAGCACGCAGTGGAAGCTTCTGTTTTTGTGGTTATCGAATCGTAAATATGTCTCATGTTCTTGATATAACTTGAGCACGTTCTCCATAAATAATAAATAAGTTTAAATAATCTTCGATTGTGCAATTTAAGCAGGTAACTGACAGCTGTCAACATTTTTTTCGCATTTTATTGTATTAAAAATGGCCACTTTTGTCATGGCAACTAAGAATGATAGTATTTAAAATAAGGTGCGTCAAAATAGCCATATGAAAACAATAAATTGGCAATATTTCGAAAACTAAACAATGTTGGAATAGAGTTTACACAAACGTACCCTTATTTTTAACACTGAATAAGATAAAATGATCAAAAAGATGGGTTTTAATAGTTATCAAAATGTGGAAATTCCATTAATTTTGCTTTATATGATAAATGAGTAATTATTCGAGTGGCTGGAACTGTCAGTTTTTAGATGACATTAGAAAATTTAAAAAACGGTTAGACTATTTCAAGCTTCAATTGACAAATTAAATATTCATTATTTATTGCATAGACAGCAAATGTTTAGACGATTTATTCAGGTTTACAGTCATTTCCATAATTTATAGTAATTCTCGAGAATTTGTTGTTAGAAATTCCATCAAAATTCCGTGAACAAAATGGACGCTTTCAAATGTCATTAAAGCACTCTCGATTCAAACAAGTAAACTTGAGTTTTGTCAAACTTCTACCAATAATTTTTGAATGTACTCAACAATATAAATGCTTACATAACACGCAAATACACCTAAAACACTGTAAAATTGCTAGCTTTAATTACTCAACTTGTTTAATTCAGAGATTACTCATGGGTTTAAATTTTTTTTCTAAATGCATATTTGGTTAGTTTACCTATTGTATTACCTATTGTAATTACTTACCTTTGCACTCTGGCTCGGGTCGTGCGAAACATTTTTGCGAGTTTAAAATTATCACACTACCTATTGAAACGAACACACATTTACAAATAAATGTTAGCAAAATATGAAGGTATTTCTAGTATTATTTTTTTATATTTCTTCAAATAAAATTAGACCCATATCACACTTATCCATAAGGAAATTCTCCCTAAATTTCTT